ATAAAATAGTCAAAATTAATACACGGGAAGCTCATGTAGAAAAATGTAAGGGCCACCTGCAATTACTACATTGGAAAGAAGAAAGTCCATTGCAGAGACTGCAGAACATCTAAGCACCCTAGGAATGAGCTGAGACCATTCCAAGGATGATCTGTTTAAACTATTTAGAATGTGCTATATCAAGAATATTCTGACATGATTTGTCAAGGAAAATGCTAGAAGAAAATTGCAAATAAGCTAAAGCAACTCTTCCTCATCAAAGGATTTTTAAAATAAAGTAAAACAGTTCTCAACATCTCTAGGTACTTTTATATAGATGTATATGTATATATAAATTTATATATTTTACTTATATTACTAGCAGCTGACATGTCATGAGTAGCTGTATACAATACACAAAACTGCAAAATTATAAGAGGCTAATAGGAAAAATAAGCAATTCCTTTAAATGGAACTAAAAAGACTGTAACAATTGTGGAAGCTTAGCATTTTTTTTTTTTTATTTAAAAATGTGCCTTCTCTCTAGGTTGGATTCCTTTGCTGACTAATATTAAATTCCTCATAAATGCAGTTTGCCAAGCTCTTATCCTGTACTCTGTACTAGCTCTGAGTCTGGTTATTTTAAAAGAAAGAAAGAAAAGTAATTACATTCATTCCCAAGATAAAAAAGTATTTTTACTAGTTTGAAAAACAAAAAACCATAAAATGCAACATAGTCAGATTGCGTATGCTGCCACTAGATGGCAGTGAGAACAAGCATTTAGAAATGCAGCCGAAGGATTCTGGTTTTCTCAAAGCTTCTCTCTACCATTCTCCCTTTTCCCCAGAACCTCTCTCTTCCCGGCTGCTTCATATAAGACATGAATCAGCGTGTGTGAAAACACCCACACACCCACATACATTAACATGTATATGTTCATATATAGAGTCATAGCAAATACAGAGGTTGGGAAGCCATTTTGTGTGTCTCTTTCCAAGCTATATGGCTGAAGACAGTTTCCTGACAATTTTACACAAGCCAGTCTTCCCCATCTGTAATGCAGCCCCCAACATACCTGGCCACTGCTGGTAAGGCCAGTGAGAGTTGGGAGTCAATGCATATTTGACTATATAGAGATTTGTCTCCATGGGGGTGGGACATAGGAAACGTTAGATAAAGCGTGTATCCACATCAAAATCCCAACAACCCTCTCCTTGGTTATTTTCAGAAGACCAAATCTGTGAACACAATTTTCTGAGCTTCCCTTCCTTTCCTGTAATAATAAAAGACTAGAAAAGCGCCCCCCTTACGCACAGCAAAATGACACAGCCTAAAATCCTTCCAGAAGACTCACAAATCAGTGTAATGATGGATGTTAAGTGGGGGCAGCTGAAATGAGGAATGGCACTAACAGTTCACTTCTGATAGTCACAAAGCACAAACTAGAACCCTAGAACATGGTGCTAATGCTGTTTATGCTTCCATGTTACTTCCTCCACCTTCTCAGAGAGGTTGGAATCCTTAAAAACTCTTAAAAGAGGGGCATTATGAAGAGCTCTCTAGCACACCATTAATAACACACAAACTTTGTAATAATCACGACGTCCCACACATCAGCTACAGCTCACTTGTTCCTAGGGAGTTACGAAAGGAGTAAGCTGACGAAAGTTGCAATCCTATGCCCACCTACCTGGGAATTCAACGAGGCTTGTAATAACCACAAAGCGTAGGAGAAAGTTGGACTTTTCCTTTCTTGCACTGAATAGGTGGCACACCTTGCTTCCCAGTCCTCTCTCTAGGAACAACTGGCTGGCTTTGATTTCTAAATTGGTAACTTTCAATCAAGGAGTTCTCTACTCACCTGAACCATGCAGGTGTGAGCCTGGAGGTCACAGAGACCTCAGCAGCTGATGCTCATCCAATCTAGAGGCTGCAGAAATTAGCAAGCAATGCACTGACAGGAGTGAACAGGCCAAGTTACAAGCAGAAAAAAATAGCCAAGAACAACCTGAAGACTACTTTCAAGGAATAATGATTAGGAACTGTTCTTAAAAAGTATTCTCTCTTCACCCCACCCCACCCCACCCTTATTATCACCCACCTACCGGACACAATTTCAGTCAGGATTTTTTACTCCTGTCTCATAAATATGAATATGATGGAACAAGCATCACACTGTTTTTAGAAACACCGAAAGCTGACTGTTATCAAGTTTTACCATTCACCTATTCAACTCATCACTGTTTTTGCTGGCTGGCAATGGCTTTCTGGGGTTTTCCAGCCCTCACAAAGGATGGCAGGGACTGAACCCTAGACTTTCTGCATGCCAAACATGTATTCTACAAATGAACCTTTCCCTAAATCAGCCTTTCCTAAGTTGATGCTCTCCAAATTTTCAGACCAGAAACTTTCAGTATCCCTGTCTATCAGACACAGTGGATGGAACTGAATGGAAGTGGAACCAGCTTAGGAGAGGCTATCCTAAATAATACACACACATTGTCTTTTTCCAGGGCTTTTCAGAATAAGAATAAAAAAACCCATCAGGGCATCATGCATCTTTCACACCTCAGAAAGAACACGTTGAGAAAGATGGAAGAATGAAACACCAGTGTACGTGCAAAATATTTTTTCTTCCCAAAGATGAGCACAGATAGCCTCTTTCTCAAAAGATTTCAATGCCTTGAAAATAAAAGTAGCATTTTATGCTCCAAAAGACAATTTTTGATATTGGAACATGTGCAACAAAGGAGGAGACAGAGGGTATTCATTTGTACGTGAAAAAAAATATGCAGAAGGCCTTGGAGACAACAATATAGTTCTAAAAGCTACCAAGCCTACTTAATGATTGAACATTGTTCTTGAAAATATGTTTTCGTTTCCCTTCCTGAACTTTGGGGTAGAGTGGGGTTAGTGATACTGAGGTAACAGAATCTCCCCTGGTGGGGATGGGGGGAAATGTAAATGAAAAATATGAAGTGAAACCTCGAGGGAGAATGGGAAGAGATGTTAGGGGAAAGAACAGGAAATTATGCTGAACGCAACTTTCCCATTACCATTAAATTGTTATCATTGCAATTAAATATTGTTGTCATTATGTTCTGTTCTCTCTCTTTGCTTGTACTCCACAGCACTGTGTTATCATGCCCTCCAACATTTATCCAATGAAAATTGGTGTGTCCTATTTAATACTACTACTATTACTACTACTAAATAATACCCCACCCATCTGACTGGGTTGCCCCACCCAGTGGGTGGCTTCCAACATAAGAAAACATTAAACATTTTTTTAAAAATCCCAGAGCTGCCTTCTAAAGGTTGCATAGTTGCTTATCTCCTTGGCTCGGGGCTCACATAACTCCATACCCTCCAACATTTCTCCTATGAAAATAGGGGTGCTCTAAGGAAAAGCGGGACATTCTGGGATCAGAAACTGGGACAGCTTCTGTAAATCCAGGACTGTCCCTGTAAAACAGGGACACTTGGACGGTCTGTGTTATGCCTCTACAGTGGTGGTACAGATTTCCCTTTAAAATACCAGGTAGAAAAAGCCATACAGCAAAGGACTTTTTACTTCAAAAGGCTCCTGCATCTGATTTTCTGACAGTCAAGCAGAGGCTGTCTCTGAATACAAAGAACAACTTAGTCCAGAAGGCAGCAAGTTGGGTCCGGAGTCACTCGAAAAGTTCAGCTAGAGCATTCCAGACCAAATCCTGACCACATTTTGAAAAGCGCCCTGTGTCCACCACAAACCCAGCCAAAACCTGTACCTTGCTTTTGACTGTCAAAGGCTGAAGGCCAACTACTTTCCTAACGTGAAAGGTTTTTATGAACGCTGCTCTGTGTTTAATAAAAACACGGTCACTGGACGGAACATAAAAGCCTGTGGAAATGTCAAAATGGGGAAAAGGTCAGGCAAAATCCACCTTGTGTGTTAACCAGTGGCATTTCCAGTTACCTTCAGAGAAATAAAATCATGCTTATCTGAATATCAGCTGGCTGGACTGAGGCCTCAGAGCAAGTGGGGATGGTAAGAGAGCTCTTCTAATACAGGAAGAGAGAGGCAGGGAAAGTTGTAAACAGAAGCCAAAGAGGGACACCCTGTTTTTTGCAGAGAAGACCCTCTTCTTATTACGTATGGGCCCCAATTGAACCACCACCAATTTCATTTGTCAACAGGCAACAGGTGTCCTAACACTTCAAAGCAGTTGACAGGGAGGCATGGACTGAAAACACATCCTTGCACAGAGCAACAAAGAAAATGAACTCATCTGACAAACAATTCTGAGAACAAGTACGGCATGGGAAAAGAAACTAAGAAATCAAAATGAAAGGGACGATTCTGCCCTGGCTATTCTAACTTGAGGACACAACAGTGCTTCACTGACCCCAGGGTGTTCATTTAAAATGGGATGCAGGGAGATTACAAGGTTTGTAAAAGGCCACTGTGTGTAACTGAGAACTGAATTCTGCTCCATCACTGTCCTGGATCACCGAGGCTATAGGATGGAAAACTCTGACATTCTCATTTTGTAAAAAAGTCTTTTCTCGAGAATCTCACATTTATTTCCACAAAATGGTACTAACTGGTTGATTTTAGTCCCTCAAAGAAAATGCCTGTGCATGTGATTCGAGAGGGGGTGGTATTTACATGTTTTTGAGATGGTCACTTCCTTGGCCTGAGGCAAAGCATTACTCCAAGTCAGCAATCTCTCATTTGCGCTGTGAAGGGGCCACATCTGCAGGATATTTCTCCTCTACGTGAAATCAACATCAGTCCCACTGATGGGCCTTGAAGATGCACACTCTGTTTAGAGTTCCTTGCCGTGCAATGGAACTCACAGTAATCCATTGTTTATGCTGAGACTTAATCCACTTTAAAAGGTCCGAGATGCCACACAAGCAAGTTATCTGCCCTTAAACTTAGCAATTCATTGACATTTGTCCCTACCTTTAGAAATAAATGAGTATATGCAAGCCAAACTGTGGTTCAATAACTTGCATGGAAAGCTTTAAAAATAAAAATAAAATAAAATGCATCTTTGGATTGAGACCAATAACTGCAAGGACTCCTCTATTAACATAGGAATATGAAGCCAATATTGTTAAAGTGGTGATACGCCTAGGATTGGTCAGTTAAACTGCAAATTCACCCAGTCCCCCTTGACTTGCACGATACTTTGGTTTATGGCAAACAGAAAGAGAAGCCAGCATCAACACCGCTAGAGAACGTCTTGAAATGAGTAAGGGCAGATTAACTTGCAGTGTTTCTTGCATGTGAAATATCTCATTTGCGCGAAATGGTCCACATAAGTTGGCCTCTGTTATAAATATGAATGCATTACAATCCACATGGAAAAGGCAAGTTTGCAGCGCGAAAGGCTTGCAGTTTGATAGCAACCCATTCAACAGCTCACTGGAGCTGGTTTTGAGGGGAACCACAGAGCTAGAAAAGGACAGAGAGAGGATGAAAGCTCCCATTAGAAGGGATTAGAAGACCCTTGGCAGCCACATACAGCTTCCAGGGTGGGTGCTGCCATTGCTCAAATGATTAATGCTGTGGATAAATCTGGAAAGCAAAAATAATAGTAGTAATAATAAGAAATATAATATTCCTTGCACTAGATACTATTCAGTAAATAACCATACAAGCAAATTCTTTTTTTCTTTCCCCCCCTTTTTGGTAGGGTTTCTCTCTCTCTCCCCAAACCACGCCAAATTGCATATCACATACACCCACACACCCACACTTTGATGATGGAGGCAGGGGACACTGTGAGCTGGGAGAGAAGATCCCTGCAGTTTAAGTCACCAAGGGGCACAGGCATCCCTGGGGAAGGTAGGGAGAGGTCCTTGCATTCCTGCTCAGAATCTACATTATCTCCTTGCCAGATGCACAAATTTAAAACTCTGGCTTAACAACTCAATCCAGAAAGCAGTCTGGTGACGGATTATCTTAAGACATCTGATGGACAGATTTGCAACCATGAAATGCATTTGAGATGGGTGTGAGGAACTGACTTATCTGGAAATAGCCACAACCCTGCTTTGTCCATGGCTTGGTCTAGAATGGCTTTCAACAAAAGAAGAAGAAAATATAGATATATATAAAAGAGAGCCATGGACAGTCCTTTCCATCCCGCTGCCCAGGATTTGATGTAAACAATGTTCATAGAAACTGGGATTGTTAAGAAAGTTTATCCATATATCTGGATAGCAATAAAAAGCGTTTCCTAGGAAACTGTAAAATCCTGTACCAAGCAGTGTACAGCCAAGCTGAGAGGAATGTTAGACTGAATTATATTATCAAGGTAACAACTTTGTGAGATTTCTTTTAAATCCTGTGATAATGTACAAGGAGAATGCATGTGAAAAGTCAGGATTTTGTGTCTTTCCCCCCACTCTGGAATGCCTCTTGCACTGGAACGCATTGGTCTGGGGTGCTCGGTTTGAGTTAGTCACAGCCGACGTGGTTAACATTCCTTCCTTCTCCTCCTAAGGTTGCCTCAGTACTTTCCTTCTGGTGCCAGTGAAACGAATGTCTCGTGTCTTCCCATCTCTTCCAGAACTGTGGCCAGCATGCTCAGGTTTCCATCAGGGAAATTCTGAGCTTCCCAAAGGTCTAAGATCACACCGGTGGGACTTGATTTTGTAGCAAAATAATTGAGGTACCTGTAACGGGACAATGACTACAGTTAAGAGCGTTGCCATTCACCTGACCCCACACTATCAACGTAGATGCTGAACAACAGGCTGCGGAACCTGTGACCCTTGAGATGTTTCTGGACTACAGCTCCTATCATTACTGATCATTGGCTATCCTGGTTGGAACTGATGGGGGTTGGAGTCCAGCAACAGCTGCAAGGCTGTCCATCCCTGGTCTACAATGTCAATACAGTTATGCATAGTTGCATGTGCAGCAGCTGTGGTGAATGTAGTATTCAGCCACAGTTACCACTTACTGGCCAGTGTCATGGACAGAAGCTGGGGCAACCGACTTAATCATGGAAGCATGCAGCAGCTGAGTAGACAACAGCACAGCCACTTCCTTCCAGCAACACCTGCTATTATAAGGACATGAAGTCCCTGTTCCTTTTAGCTGTCATGCAGAAGCACCACATTCTGCCCCGCTTGCAGGACCAATAACTCTGCTACACCTAGTAGCTGCTCTACTAGTAAGCATGCTTTGAAATGGCATGCATTCCCTATGTTCTCCGATTGTCAACACAAAAACAACTATGACTGAAATATACTCGGAGTTGAGAGTGGATTTCATGCTCTTTATTCAGCTCATAGTGGTGAGGAGGAATGGAAGTTCCCCCAGGATGTCTGCTTTATATACATTATTTACACAATGGGCCCCACGTGATTGGCTAATTCCGGCATTCACCTGTAGGCCAATCAGGTTGTGGATTCACTTCCACCTGGAGCTGGATTGGGTGGCTCCTGTGGACCAATCAGACTGTTGCATTCTGGACCCTACTGTTCTAGGACCAATCAGACTGCTGCATTCTGAATCCTATTGTTCTAGGATCAATCAGACTGCTGCCTGTTGGATCCTATTCAACTCAGTACATAACAATGACCTTTTGTCACATGCATTACGGGACACAAAGTCTAATCCAAAGATGGGCATGCAAGCATCTCACTGGTTCCAGGAAGCCTTATTCCATACTTGGCTTCCTTGAGATGACTAAATCTGTGCAAATTTCACTGGAGGACTGAATCTCAGAATTTCCCAAAGGATTGTGCCAGGCCTCACTAGCACACGCACCCATTTATCAATCCTCTGCCACATTGCACAGCTTGTGTGGCCAGCATGCTTACCCACCTGTCCAATTTCAGTTTGTGGGCCAGCATCCTCCAGTCATGACCTCTTGTCTGAGGCGCATCTAGGCTGCTGCAAAGCTTCTGTCGGATTGGGAGGGGGATACTGAATGCACAAGGTCCTACTACGGTGGTGATGGTGTTTGCTGGGTCCATGAGTGGATATTCAATGCCAGTAGGTTCCTGCATTTCAGAGAAGAGGAGTAGAGGATACGGCAGCATTATTAGAAGAGGAAATAAACTTATTACCTACAGAGAAGCAATCTGTGAAGCATAGTTTCCTGGATAATAAAGGGGAGGAGTAAAACTATGTACACCATCTTGAGCTCCTCAGAGCAAAAGTGGAATACAAATATATATATAAAAGAAGGAATAAATATTATTGAAGAACACAGATGAAAGCACTTTGCAAGCCACTTTGGATGGGTTTTTAGTGGGAAAACAACCTATTTCTAAAAAAAATGTTCATAAATAAAACTTCTTATGCTTAGGCAAGCCATTCATTTAGTTCATTATTGACTATACCACCTATCATCCTTAACTTAGGGATGCACTGCTCTCTATTACATCAGAGAAAACTGCTTTACGCTAGTTTTATAAAATGTCTTTTTCAAATAGGCAAAAGCCCAATGGCCTAAATATTGTAAGTTCCAGATGCTGCTTGTCTTCAGACAAAATTGGCGAGAGCTCTGCAGGTGATTGTCAACCGTATAAATCCACAAAGAAAGATGTACGTTTTGAACGAGCCTGTTAAAAATAAAACTACTTTCTGCAAGAAGAAATGTCACAGTGGAGGAGGCGCTTCAGAGCCATTGGGCAAACCATATTGACAAACCGAAAAAGGCAAATAATAATGGATACACATCATTGGGCAGCCTGATAAAACTGGGGTTGCCCTCCTTTGCAGCACACCACATCTGTAGTATTCTAAATCAATTCACAAAGCATGATTACCCTGATTTGCAGATGGGGAAATTGAGGTCAAAACATGTCCAAGAAAACATAAACAACTCAGTAGCAGAACTAACACTCTGACCTCTGCCTTGCTCCCCCCCCCCCCCGCAAATCAGCACACTTTCCCCTCTGCATTCACTATCAAATGAAATTATATGAAATAGTGCCTATCTCCTTCGAAGAAAAGGTTGACAGTCAGAGATAGACATATATTGTTAAAACCTGTATTAAAGCTACACACACACTCACCCCCTCCTAAACTGTGTGACATTTAAAGTAGATGGGAAGAATAAAAACGTATCATTTCAGGATCTTTCATCTGCAGCGGAAGAAAGGAAATTAATTTGGCCATCACATCAGCCAACTGGAAAAGTAAAGCAAGCCTTGTCTATGAACAACTAAAACAATAAAAAGACCCACTTTAAATGTCAATTTCTTTGTATTTCAACTAGCTGCCTTCCCAGCTATAAGGTAACTGGCTCTCCACAATGCATTGCCACAAATAGAACCACTTTAAATCACGCCATTTTCCAGGGCTTAAATAGAACTCACCATAACAAGAAAATGCAGGGTGCAAAGTTTTTCAAGTTAGCATAGATGGTGGTAAGCGTTTTTTTCAGAAGCTTCATCTTAAATATAGTTTCACCTGTTCTATACACTGGGGATGTTGGGGAAGGTTACCGAAGCCAAGATCAGATGAGAACTTTGGGGACTCATAAAAATACGCTTCAAATGAGAGGTGAGTTTCTAAAAGCCTCAAATTCTTCTCCCACTCAGCCTGAAATCCAAGAACGACTGCCTTCTCCGGCTGATGAATGCTTTGAACAAGCATCTTAATGCAGAGTTAGGCTATTCCATTCCATTCCATACAACTGATTTTAAGAGATGGCAAGTTTGGATAAAATTCTGATGACCCATGGATGACACATAAGAGGGAGTGGCTTTCCCCCATAAGAACAAATCCCCCATAAGAACAAATCATTCCATTAATTCCAATGGGGTGGAGAAAAATAAATGATGGGGAGGGGGCATTGGGGGGTATGGGCCAAAGATCACCCACAGATGGCAACTTTTGGCCCACATCCTCCAATTTTGGTCTGTAGTGTTTTTCACTGTCCCCATATGATCAAATGGCGCTACTCATTCCTATGAGGGTTTATTTCTTCTGCTTTATTTCAGAGAAAGTAAGTTTAAGGAGCTCAGCTATCTATACTACATACCCATGGAAATGTGCAGCAAAATCTGTTAGATATTTGTTCCTTGTAATCCACTGTGCTGCACATGCCTGGGAAACCCAGCCAGATGGGCAGGGTATAAATAATTTTTTTTTAATTATTATTTAGACACTGACATTATTGAAGGAGGAAACCCAGGTATATTTGACAGAGATGAGGACAAACACACAGGAATGCAAAGACTGGAAATTTTTGCCAAAATGATTTAGAAGTCTTTAGAAGTCTTATACTAAAGGAGCTTTGCTCTTGCTATCCTCAAACAGATCGTAACATGCAAAATTCGTTAGTTCTTGCAAACGTGGCTTACTCACCGCTGCACCTTGTCCTGCAACCTAGCAGTTATTATCGGCCGGCTAGGTATTTAGCAAGATTAAATGTTCTTAGATATAGGAGAGCATTCTCAATGGCTGGTTAAATGTTTTGCCATCAGCAGTTATGGGAGGCTGATTTACCAGGCTGTCTTGGCATCAGAGAGTTTGTCCTTGCGGAAGTGGCTCAGTCGAAACATTAGTCCACATTCTCCTGCACTGTAATTTTTATAGGGACATAAGATCCCATTTTATCTCCCTGGTACTTTCTTTTCACTTGGGGAGCTCAGATGAATTTTATGCCTCACTTTTAATGGCAGTTTCCAATCCTAAGATCACAGAAAATATAGCTAAGTTCCTTGCTGTACCCATCAAAACTAGGTCACACTTACTAAGGGTAGATGAGTACTGAGCCAAAATTTTCTCTATTTTTAACCCTGCACCGTGTTTGATATTTATGGTCTGTAGACCAAATAAACTGAACTTGGGCATCTTCAAAGACGAAAAACGGGGGGAAAGAAAAGGAAGGTGGGAGGCAGGGAGGAATAGAGTCATATCAGAAGTTAAACAGGAAAAATAGATATGAACCTGGGTTTTCTAAGCCCCTGCATGATTTGTTTAGCTGCATAAGACCTTCTCTTTTATAACTACAAAATAAGCCAGGATGGTGGTGGCTGATTATTTATGCCCATAGCCTCTCCCATGGCCTTCGCCATGTAATCTCCCCAGTCTTTGACTTATTCATTGCCTTCATGCACTCCAAAACCTACTTGAGATGAGGTAAACAGGGCTAGGTCACTCCATGGACCCTGATGCACTGTACCATTGGCTCCTAGGCATTCTTGTCATTACTGTTACCTCCTGGGAGACTGGATGCTTCTCTTTTCCCTTGATCGCTCCATCTGTTTGCTCAGTATGGCCAATTTGTTGAGCTGCATGGAGGTAGAGGGATGTATGGCCACCACTTGGGCAACGTCTTAATTTGATTTATGGCTCTCCTGGACTGAACCTTGAGATCTTTTCTATGTAAGAGTCCTTGGACATATGGTCAACATTCCTTTCCCATCTCCCAACTTTCCATCAGCCTTCAGTGTGTCCAAGAAACAGGACCCAAAAGAGGGTTATGGAAATAAAAGCAGGTTTGGCTTTTTAAGACAGGGAACAGGTTTAGCTCCAAGTACAAATAGTAGAATCCCTGGAAAAGACCCTGATGTTGGGAAAGATGGAGGGCACAAGGAGAAGGGGACGACAGAGGGTGAGATGGTTGGACAGTGTTCTCGAAGCTACCAGCATGAGTTTGACCAAACTGCGGGAGGCAGTGGAAGACAGGAATGCCTGGCGTGCTCTGGTCCATGAGGTCATGAAGAGTCGGACACGACTAAATGACTAAACAACAACAACAAATGGTAGAATAATAGAATTGTAGAGTTTGAAGGGACCATGAGGGTCATCTAGTCCAACCCCCTGCAATGGAGGAATATTTCACCCAATGTGGGGCTCAAACCCACAACCCTGACATTCAGTGTCTCATGCTCTACCAACTGAGCTATAGAGATAACTGGTATAGATCCCATTAATTCCTATATGGAGAAATAAAATACTGTTCATGGGCTCTGCCACCATGAACGGAAAATGTGCACTCCATCCCTGACACTAGGAAACAAGACTTCACTTACAGGTATCTGTGCTCAAAGTCTGCAGCTAAAACTGTTGCTCCAAAATACAATCATCATTACAGTGACCTTCGAAAAGACTGCAAATTCCTTGGGCCACCGTGCTTCCTTTTCAAAATAATGCAAAGCAGAAAACCTGGACAATGGGTAATGTACCCACATGCTTGTCCTGCCACTGTTCCTGCCTTTGCTGCTGGACAGGCAAGTGAAGAGAATACTAACTGGGGCTGCCCCTTGTTAGCTACTGTGATCAGTTCAGATCAGGTGTGTTCATGGTGGCATTGCCATAGGCAAAACTCTCCCAGAATAAAAGGGTCAGGTCTTACACAGCCCTGGCATGCAATCACCCATTAAATACATTGCAGCTGTGTTATCCCTGTTCCATAATTCTCTCTGATAGACAGAATCAGAGCACAGGGGAAAAAAATTAATGTTCTTTCCACATTTTGCTGTTACTGGGTCTCATTATATATAAGCAGATGACATTTGTTACATTCCAGAGTTTCGCTGCTAAAGATAATACCTGCTCTTTTGCTCCTTTGCTAGGTTAAATTAGAGATTACTTCAGTACAGTACTTATTGTAATAATTGTTTATGATACTTGTTTTACCATCTGTCTTTAATGTTATGGAGTCCCCAGCTGAATATATAACTTTATACCCAATAACCAAGCAGATGTTACAAGCGATGTTGCAAAATGCAGAATTAAGTAACTTTCAGCTGTCATCTCCTGGCCCTTCAAAAATAATCCAGAAAAAATCACTTTCTGGCTGATGAACACTGGATAGTCCCTCAGACAATGGAATAAATGCTTATTCTGCTGCAGAGATGGGGAATCCATGGTCCTCGAGATGTTGTTAAAGTATAACTCCCTTCTTCCCTGACAATTGGCCATGGTGGTTGGGATGGATGGAAGGTAAAATCCAGCAACAGAAGGAGGTGGGCTTACAGGGTTCATGTTCGCCATGTAATAAGCTCCCAGGAAACAGGAATTCAAGCTATACATTAAAAGCAGTATCACACCACTCTAAACAGTCACTGCTTCCCCCCAAATATCCTGGAAACTTTAGTTTGCTAAAGGTGCTGTCAAGAGACCCCTATTCCCCTCACAGAACTACCATTTCTGGAGTGGTTTAACAGTCAACTCCTCTTCCCAGGGAACCCTGGAAATTATAGGTCTGCGAGTGAAATTGGTCTCTTAACCACTCTCAACAGGCTTAAGAGGCTACAATTCCCAGGACATTTGGGGGGAAGCTGAATGTATAGTGCATATAAGGCCTTAGTGTATCAAAGGCAGGTTAGCTTTAAAGGCAGGTCAGAAACTTCAGCTGGTGCAAAATTCAATGGCCAGATTGCTCACCAAAACAAGATGGTTTGCACATATAACACTATTGCACTGGCTCCCAGTTAGTATCCAGGCCCAACTCAAAGTGCTCAGGACCTCAATACTTTAAAGACCACCTCTCCCCACCTGAACCAACCTGGGTCCTGCACTTGTCAGCTGAATTGCATCAGCTTGGGTAATTCATGATATGTTTCTAATATGGCCCTTAGATGGTGTTACTTGCTGCAAAGTGGCATATATCACATAATAGAGACCTCCTCCCTTATCAATCAGCTCCCAGCCCATCTACTTGTTTATCTATGATGTCAGCTGCTAGCACAAAACCTCATCAGCATTTCATTCCCCTACTCCATTTGGAAGCTCATATTGCTGCATGAACTGTGAAATAAATCATTCTTTATCCCAGGTCAACTCAAATGAAATCTTAATGTTGCTGCTGCCCTCTTTGAGGAACCATCTCTCCACAAAAGGGGGATTTTCTCCTCCTCATTATTTGTTTCTCTGCCTTATCCCACCTCCCTCTTTATCTGCTGGCACTTGTGCACACCAGACGGGCAGCACTCATCAGAGGCATAGCTGGCCCTTCCACCCTGTTCCTCCAAAAGCTGTTCCTTCTGTTGTTGCAGGAGTTGTGTGGTTATTGAACTTCACAGACCTGCTGGGCTTCGGCGGTGAAAACACCGTCCAAAACCAGCAGGGGTGGAGCTCTGCGGCTCAGAGATATGGCTTGCAGAACGAAACCTGCCGGCTGGTTGCCATGGCGCCATGACATCAAGATCATTCCTTATTAATGTCAGTGGGGTCTTTGACTGAAGTTGTTTGTAAGTCAAAGAGGGTGGCGAAACTCTGGGAGGAAATGTTGGCTGCACCGTAGCCGGCTGTGAGAAAGAGAGAGGAGGTCAAGGCAGCAGCCTGACAGACGAGATGACTTGCCCTTAATTACGTGAAAAGAAAATGAAGACAAGAATGCTTCACCTTGCGACTGTTTGGATTTGCTTTTCTTTTTTTCCTTACACTTCATGAGTGAGACGGCAGCACTTCAAAACACTTTGGAAATAAAATTACAGAGTAATGGCATTTACTCTGCCACTGTATCTCTGGGCAGTCAGTAGGTCAGTTCCTCTGATCTGAAGTGAAGCAAGTCCAAGTCTACTTCTCTCACACCAATTCTGATTCTCCAGAGCAGTGCTCACTAGTTAATTCGAGAGTATATAATGAAAGTCCATTGTATTTGTCCATTGTATCAAGTCTTTGTCGGTAGAGCATGAGACTCTTAATCTCAGACCCAGGGGTTCGAGTCCCATGTTGAGTGAAAGATTCTTGCACTGTAACAGGTGGACTAGATGATCTGCCTTCCAACTCTACTATTATATGACTCTAAGTTTTCCGCTGATTTCAATAGATCAGTGTTACACACAATGACTTTTTCTAATACACAATATAACCTTTTAGCCCAAGTCCAGTTTAGAAAAGTTACATGGGGTTAGATGTGTGAACCGCCCTGAGGCCTGCAGGTATAGGGTGGTATATAAATTCAATCATCATCATTATCATCATCATCATCATCACCTGCCTTTGCAAACCTGGTACTCTCCAGATGTTTCGCACCACAACTCCCATCAGCATTAGCTATGCTGAAGGGAGTTCCAGAACACACAAAATATTAAAAGGTTGTGTGAGAAGACACACTTTGCCTGGCATGGAAAGGACAAAAGATTCAGCGGTCTCTCTGGAGCAATATCACTAAGGTCCTTTCCCTGATTGCTACTTGGGCTCAGAGCAGGACGTCTGAAGGTGATCTTAATGCTTGATCAGGTTCATAATAATAATAATAATAATAATAATTTTTTTTATTTATATCTTATGGTATTGGTCGGTCCCAAATTTTATATTAGAGACCTAGCACAATGAATTACACTTGGAAAGAAATGGGTTGCAAGTAGGCATGGGGCAGAAGTTTGATTCAGTTCACTTTTAAATGTTAACCTACCTAATTTGAACTTTGCGAAACACTATGCGAATCAAAACACAGCCATTGTTCTAGGCGCATTTTGCAACAGGGAATTTCATTGGTGTGAGCAGTTTCTGAACTCTGGGCATTGTACTGCCCCAAAGATTTCAGATTAAAACTGCAGAGTGGAAGTAAAGGAGGACCTTTTCTGCCTCCCCACTTCCAGCTACTCTCTGAAGACTGAAGAAGAAACCCTTTTCAGAATATTACAGGCGTGGGCAGGGGAAGGACTAGACCATGTGAAAAATAAATATAATATTTTATCTGCAGTTCATTCATTTTCAGCTTTCTATTCTTGTTATAAAACATGTGCCTAGACATTCTGTTGTTGTGCCCATAACCTAAGTTTTAGGTGCCATTTAGCTCCTAGCTTTTATATCTCAGTTTTTAACACTGGTGGGAATGTGGAGAACTGAACTTATGACTGGAAAATTGGGAGAGAAACTGAAATTGACAGATTTGTCCATCTATAGTTGCAAGTGATGGTGTTTAAGAACTGACATAATGTGCACCCAGCCCAGCCCAATTACTGCATATATATTCTTGACTAACTGATGTTTTAGGGTGACCTTATGTACAAAACATTGCAAAACTCTAATCTGGAGGTTTACCAGAGCATGGATAGCAGCAGCCAGCCTATCTCTGCCCATGAGGTGTTGCAGCTGGTGAACCAGCTATAGCTGGCGGCAGATGTTTCATATCACCAATGCCACCTAGGCATTGAAAGACAGGGCCAGATCTAACAGTGCCACTAACCTGTAAACCTGATACGTTAGGGGGAGAGTGATCCCAATCCAGAACAATTGAGCATCACCTCCCAGTTTATATAAACAGAGACTAATGTCCATCTTGTCTAAACAAGATGTGGTTTTACATGCCTTTTTCTCCTGCGGTCCTTGTATACAGGCATTCTCCAGGCAGAATTGTAAGATTATCTCCTGATGCATCATTAAGCTGACTCTCGAATACTTCTCAGGGCCTAACTACACATTATATTAGCTACATAGCTGTGTCTCTAAGTGCAGGATTGTATTTTGAACATTAATTGCCAGTGCAGGAGACCTTGTTGAGTTTAGGATCCTTCAGTAGGGGATAGTGAAAACAAAATAAAACAAAACAAACAAACTTTCATTCTATCCAGATTGCTCCTGCAATTTGCAGTTAAAAAATGGTGCAAAATGACCTTTTTTCCCTATGTAAATTTTCCAGTGCACTCCCCAATCCAGCTTTGGACCTTTTCAGAGGGCAAAATATTTAAGTAGCACCTTTCACATTTGCCCAGTAGATGGATCGAAGATGACTGCAAGATCACCCACCCCGGTTTAATGGATACCATGCACATAAATTACTGAACCCGGTTAAGTAATATTGGTGACTGTGGGAAGATATTGAGTTTCCTTACCTCTGATACTGAACAGTTGAGCTGGAATATCTGCCCTTCTCCTTCAACCTGCCGTATGCAAAGTTTGCACACCAGCTCCAGTGTGTTCAGACTGAACCTTTCCAAGGTGAAGGTACAATGCAGGTTTCTTTGACATCCACTCCAGATATGGTAAAAGGGAATTTCCTGTTGGAGAAGTGATAGCTATAAGCCTCAGCTAGATAAAACTCTCAAGCAAGAAGGTGACTATGGCTAATAGCAAGGATAATGTGTGATGTCCAGCTAAGTCATACTCAGAGTAGATCCATTTATTTCAGTGGGTCTACTCTCTGGATATGATTAACATTGACTTCCATCCACTGTTTATTGGCTTATTCACAACCAGCTAAAGATAATAATGCACACTTAACTTAAGCTTACCAGATTTTTAAAAATGAATCCGGGGACACTTTTCAACTTCAATGGATTTTGTATGGGGACTGATTTGTAAATCTGGGAACTGTCCCAGAGAAACAGGGATGTCTGGTAACCTTAACTTATAGAATTCTGTAACAAAAGGCATGTCGAAAGCTGCTAGCTGAGATCATTGTGAGATCAATTAATGGGGAAGCGTGTTTGGCATTCCTTGAATTGCTCCTTTTAGTACATGGGCAAAAATGTAAAGGTTTTAGTTCCTCATATTACAAATATATGTTTCTTCTACATTCTTGGCATGAACAAAGATGAACCGTGTCAGAGCAGAAACAGAAATAAACACTGAATATATTGGGGAGGAGGAGGAGATCTAGTTTTAAAGTAAAAGTAAGGTAAAGGTAAAGGGATCTCTGACCGTTAGGTCCAGTTGCGGACGTCTCTGGGGTTGCGGCGCTCATCTAGCTTTACTGGCCGAGGGAGCTGGCATACAGCTTCTGGGTCATGTGGCCAGCATGACTAAGCTGCTTCTGACGAAACCAGAGCAGCACACGGAAACGCTGTTTACCTTCCTGCTGGAGCGGTACCTATTTATCTACTTGCACTTTCACGTGCTTTCGAACTATTAGGTTGGCAGGAGCAGGGACCAAACAACAGGAGCTCACTCTGTCATGGGGATTCGAACTGCCAACTGTCTGATCGGCAAGCCCTAGGCTCCGTGGTTTAGACCACAGCGCCACCCGTGTCCCTAAAGTAAAAGTATTGGGAACCTAAGCATACTTGTTCCTAGGGAGCCACTGCATATTTGGCTTTAAAGTATACTTGTACATGCAGGTGTGGCACTAAATCTCTAGACCTTTCCATTGCATTCTTCTTAGCACACTGGTACAGTAGTTGTTTCTAGCAGTTCCAAATGCTTACCTGGTACTTAGCCAGCAGCTTGCTTTTCCAGAGGGAATGGGTGATATCATGAATGGATAAGCGGAGGTTATGAGTGCTACCCTTAAAATGCAAATCCTTTGGTTCTTCTAGCAGCTGTCCACCCATTTGCCGCTCCAGCTGTAGCACCTCCTGAGTATTGAAAGAAAGACAACATCCATTTAACGGTGGGTTTTTGGGGTGTGTGTGTGTATGTTTAAAAAGATTTTAGGCTGATTTTGCTTCAACAGACTAACACAACCACCTCTCTGGACATTACTACTAGACAGCATCATAGGAAGACATTTGTTATACATCCCTCTACCAGAGAAAGGACACAATCAGAATCCATTTCAACAGTGAATGGAACAGTATTGACATTTGTGTGGCTCACATATTACAATAATCCCTGGATTGTTTAACAAACCATAACAAACCATGGGTTCAGATTTCATTTGTTTGCTGGCAGTAAACAAGTCAAAATTCAGGGTTCAGACAATCAAACAAACCATGGTAGATATTGCATGCAAACCAGACTACTGTGTCATTCTGCATTCTGCTCTGAGAGGTCTTCAACAGCACCTTATTATTTGCCTTCAAAAGACTTCAGCTCATATTATCACAAAATCCCAGGTCACTTAATCAGTTCAGCACTTTCCCCTCTCATTACAAATCCATGCACAGAAACAGGTAAAACTTTTGAAATCCAGTATAAAATGTGGTTTTGCTTGAGCAGTGCAATGCAAGAGCATTATGTTTGCCATGTTGTCTGTTTAGCATAGGAGACAAGTCTGGTGTCCCAACTACTAACCTGACCAGTCTTAAAGTCAAAATGGTGTTTGTCTTTACACTATTAGAATAAAAGGAATGTAATTAGAAAGCTTTTAGAATTAAGGTTCTGCCAATCAATCAGTTCCAGGTTCCTTTGAGTACGCCTTAATTACCTCATGAAGACGTCTTAAAGAGCAAATCGATAGTAATTATTTGATTACTATCAACGTTCATTACACCCAAATTATCTCCCAGTTTTGTCTAAAGGAAAATTTGTTACATTTCCTTACAGCAAACTGACTTGGTATATACCATGAAAGATCTTCACTTACACATGCATATGCATGAACTTGCTAATATAATTCTACTACTACTAATCATCATTCGTACAGAGCCTTAGACATTCAAGTAAATTCACAGGAATTTGCTGCCTAAGGCAGAGCAGCAATGTTCCTGCCCTCAAGTTACATTACCCAAAGCTAGTCAAGTTATATTAGTACGCCCACAAGTGCCTCTCCTCCTCCCTGGGAGTAAAAATACAACAATAAATTAAACAACAATTTGCTGCCTCTTTATGACATTCAAAATCTGTTGCATTAGGTGGCCACTTCACTCTACCTAATGATAGGGCTGGTCCTGTATTTCAGGTATTTATTTAAATGCATGCCAATCCAATGCCTGTTAACTTGGAAGGGAGACCCACTGCGTTCAAACTGTGCATAAGAATGCAGCCTTGATCTGCTATTTCAAGTACTTTTATGCTTTTCCACTCTAAGGGTCTCCAGAGCAGCTTACAATCAGATCATCAAAAATTATACCACTAAGTAAGAATTTGAAACAATGCTCTTTAATGGCACCTGATCTTGCAAAAAGGCCTCTTCAGTGGAGGGCTCAGCAGGTTTATATGGGGAAGCACTCTAGGACCAAGCTATTTAGGGATTTATATGTCAAAATCAGCACTCTGCATTGTGCACGGAAACAAACTGGATCGATGCAACGGTCTACCTGCCATGCTCTGAAGCAGGTGAAATCTTCAGTCTAAAAAAACCTGTACACTGTACAACTACACATTATATTTATCTAGCCTGGGGGTTACTGGGACATGGATAGATGTGGCCAATATATATATTTTTAGAAAAGGCTGCAGTTGAGGGACCAGACCCAGGAGTGAAAGGCATCTCATGACAAGAGTGTTACTTGTGCATCCAAAGGAAGGGCTGGTCCTAAAACTGTGAAATCATCTCTCTAGCCCAGGAGGAACCAAATAAATGCCCTCCAGGGGCTGTTGGCCTCCAGCTCCCATCAGCCCATCACCCCCAGCCAGCCAGTGGTGGCAGGCACTGTAATCCATCAACGTCTGGGCGGCACAACTTTGGCTGCCCTTGCCCTAGAGAGACTCCCTACACAACACAACCTTCAGAGATCAGTCAAAACATTTATTTTAAAAGGCACGTGGGGCCACTCTGAAAATGAATTCTTACTGCTGCTGTTTCTCTACCTAATTTATAGTGTATGTTGGTTTTATGATATGGCTGTCATTTTCTAATATTGTGATTTTAATGATGCTTTGTGAGTTGCCTGGAGGGTCCCACTGGGACTATAAAGTGAGATGCAATTTAAACAAAAATAGACACACACAACTTAAGGAAAGCCATGTGATCCCAGACTTGAATACTGCAGTGTGAAGCTTGGCTGTGGGGGAGCTGTTCTCCACAATTCTAGAGTAATCGAGACAGCAAATACGCAGCTGGCCATGAGCACCATCAGATGGAAAGGTGGGATACAAATTTAACAAAAGAACTGGTCCTCAGTCTTGCAAACTGTGGTGCAGAAAGGTTGGAAAGGAAAGGAAATTGACAGCACTAAAGGGGAGAGTTTGCAGTAAGTTTCCAACAGTTTCTGTTTGCATTTTCTTAAAAAGGATAATGGTAGGGGTCCTTCATTTACCCATAAAGAAATGAAGAACAGTGGTTCTAGTTGACCCACATTGCACATTCCTACCACATCTCACCATGTAAGCTTTATTACTGATTAGTGCTGGATGAGACAAAAACATTTCTGCTACCATTACACAAGGAAGAAAAACAAGCCGTTTTTACAAGGAACAAGGCATTATTTATGACACGTCATTATGCTTTGCTGCTGCACCTAAGACTTTGGCAACTGTTCAGGGAATGCTTCAGCTGAATAATTTGAGGAGTAAGTCTGTCAGGAGAAATGCAGCATTGTGCTTTTATAATCAGAACGCCTCTTCAGCCTTTGGTGAATGTTTGGGGGGGTATGTACATGACAAGCCATGGATGATTTATAAATAGCAATATATGATTGACAGCTTAGGAAAATTAGCACACAAACACTCTATACAGACACTGTATATAGGAAGGGGTTGTGAGCACATATTAATTAACCATAAAGTTGGGTCAATGGAACTCCCACAAATGAAAAAGTCACTAATGAAGAATCCATGTGAAATGAGTTCACCATTTCTCTCCGCTCCACTATCATTTATTTCTTGTTTGGTACCAAGGACCATTCCTTGTCTCCATACCAATTAGAAACAGGCCAGAATGTGATAAGAAAAGACAGTGCTGGATAGACAATTCAAGGCAAAAGCTCCACACAAACATTCATCCAGGTGATGCTTGCAACAGGCTTCCTCAAACTCGAACACTGGTCCTGCTAGCTAGGGATCATGGGAGTTGTAGGCCAAAAACATCTGGAGGGCCGAGTTTGAGGAAGCCTGATTTACAGAGACCTTTCACACACACCATAGTGGGTATTGGCAGGCTGGCAATCCCAGGGCAATAGTCTTATAACCAGCTAGAAGGGATTCTACATAAAAAAAAAAGGAAGCTCCCACTTCAATAATAATAATAATAATAATAATAATAATAATAATAATAATATCTTTATTGTCATATGTCAGTCTGTGTCAGGAGCCGGAGTCCAACATAGGTCAGCAGAAAAAAACAGGTGTCAATGAAGTTAATTCTTTATTCAAATCAACCTAAACGGTGAAGGCCTATTGATCCCTGCAACTCTTCCCAGTAGGTCTTGCCCCCAATGAGGCAGTTGTGAGGACTGAAGGTCCTCATGTCCCCACAGCTGCCGAAGTCCCCTCCTCTCAAGGGTCTTTCCCAAGCAATCGTAGACAGTATCTGCACACAACCAATCTCTGATCTGCTCTTTTCATTTCTCTGCGTGATCTAGGAGACCAGGGAGAGAGGGGAGCTGATCACAGAAGGAGCGGGAGACTTCAGCAGCCTGCCTCACCTCTGTCTCCTGGCCGCCCTGCTCTCCTGCCTCTGATTCTGCACTGCTCTCTGCCACAGCCTCTTCCTGCTCACTTCACTAAACCCTATTGCCCCTTCAGCTTCCGACACCTCCCAGTCTGTTCCCTCTTCTCCCTCTGACCACTCGTCGCTGTCCCACTACCAATCCCCTTGCTCTGAGCATTCTTCCACTGGGGGTTTCCCTCAGGGGTTCCCCAGCTGGTGCCTCCCACCACTCCTCGACAATCTGCTTCATTTTTAGTGTTAACTGTATAAATCAATCCCTAGGGTCCCCATGTATCTTGCTTCATAGAGATCAGTCTTCTGTCCAAAGTGCAAGTCCTTTTAAAGATAAAGAAAAGAGAGCAGGGCTCTTTAAATCGCCTATCTATAGTTTGCAACTGGAAAGAAGACAGTTCCTACTATGTTGAGATGTACTTATACTTAAATTGCAGCCATTGTTTCTGCATTTGCATCTCTACATATCAATTAGCCTATGCAAATCTTACAAAAATCCATGTCGACTTTTGCCCTCTTTTTTTGGTGCTCTTGCTTGGCGATGCCTAAGTGACCAACCTGAACTCCCCCTGCAAACTAATGAAGGTGATGCAGGGAGCAGGGAGCACTTAAAGAATTTGATTGTTTCAGCTGCAGAGTGTGCAGAATCCCAAATTTAGCCTGTCTCCTTGGCATTATCCGGTTGACAACACTTCCAAGTTTGAGGGCTTTTTCTGACTGGTCAGCATGCTGATTCAATGCAGCAGAAGCTTGAAAGCCACATGACAGCTGTGACAATCCCTGCTGTTTCCTGCTAGGTCAAACGACAGTCCACAAACTAGCTAAATCAGCATTGGTGGCACCATCTTACAGAGTAATGGAGTACTGCTATCTCACTTTGCATCTGGCCTCCCTTAAGGTAGCTGCCTCTGCTTTTGGCTACTGCTAAAATCAGCCATGGGGAAAGCTGCTTCTTCCTGGGATGAAACCTCAGGCAGGTCTGCATAACAGGTGGTCCTTATGGCATACACAGCACACCATACATGTGCAATGGCTTGTCACATGCTTTGCAACTCCACTATTCCTGCTCCTACTTTATAAAACACCTGGTGAACCACAATGTATTGCTGGCATGCCACATATGGTCCTGTGGGACATTTGTTGTGCTTAGTTTTATTATGTTACTCAAGATCTGCACATCTGCAAAGCAAACCAACAGAATACATACACATGCACCCATGCACAAATATATATATATACATGCATACATACATACTTGTACGTAGATACATGTACAACGTTTCTGTATGCTACCTTTATGCAGACAGTGCATATATGGGCAACCAACAAGGACCTGGGGAACAGCCTCATTGGCTCCTGCATATGTCAGCAGGTTAGATGCCTCTATTACTAATTCTCAGAAGATGTTTTCCTGTGCATGCAAATTCCAGAGAAAATGAGAAGACACCCACGGACCATGTGGACTAAGATGGGCAGATAGGAAAAGATTATTGTCTTTGGGAGACTCAGACCTTGACACTGCTTAGAACTTAATCCCCCTTTAATGAGTCCGGGATGCAAGTAATAATATTATGATGAATAAAATGCAGTAATTTTCCAAGAGAAGCTGTCAGACATTGCCCCAAATAAACCTCATGCAGAGCAAGGAAGCTTTGCTGGCTTGCTTTTTTCAGCTGCAGGCAGATAATAGTTTTTAAGAGAGTTTAAGATGGTATAGCACAAGTAGTATCGCCCATGGTGTACTAATTTGTTCTGTTCTGCTGTTACCTGTTTTCAAATAGGTGTTGGGGTTTCTTTTAACCACTCTACAAATACCTACAAAATTGGATTGACCTGTGGTGACATGGGAATGAGTGCACACCCACCAAGGGCAACACCTCTTTGATACCACCTTCAGCTTTCCAAAACCTTGTCTTCATCCTACTCCTTCAAACACTTCCCCCCGTGTTTCCAATCACTACAGAAACCAGTCACTCTGCTTTTGTAACAAAGGTAGTACGCTTTGATGTTCTGGAAGACATGGTGCCAAAATGCATTCGGAATGAAAATTGAATTTGCTAGCAAAGCATTATAAAATGCAAACATCTTCTAGGCAGAGGTTATTGATATTGTTATGGATTCTTGTTATGTAAAACTCTTGGGAATAATCCACTCTGTAGGAAACTTGCAAGTGGCTGCAGTAAGATACTGGCAATCCAGCCAAATACTTAATGATGGGAATCTAAACTTCACATCAGTACAGACGCTTCAGGTTACAGACTCCACTAACCCAGAAATAGTACCTCAGGTTAAGAACTTTGCTTCAGGGTGAGAATAGAAATCGTGCTCCAGTGGCGAGGCGGCAGTGAGAGGCCCTATTAGCTAAAGTAGTACCTCAGGTTAAGAACAGTTTCAGGTTAAGAATGGACCTCCAGAATGAATTAAGTTCTTAACCCAAGGCACCAATGTATAGATGTCACCAGTGTTGCCTCCCTTTAACCTTTAACCTGCAGGAGATGGTGAGAGCCGTCAGGCAGGAGCTCTCACATCTTGTGGCCAGGTGGGCAGGCTCAGAGATGTAAATGGCGGGTCCAGGCCCCTGGGAAAGGAGCGCCAGGTGCTGGCACTGCAGCCACAGAAGAAGAAGAAGAAGAAGAAGAAGAAGAAGAAGAAGAAGAAGAAGAAGAAGAAGAAGAGGAGGAAGAAGAATAGTAGTAGTAGTAGTAGTAGTAGTTTGGATTTGATATCCCACTTTATCACTTACCCGAAGGAGTCTCAAAGCGGCTAACATTCTCCTTTCCCTTCCTCCCCCACAACAAACACTCTGTGAGGTGAGTGGGGCTGAGAGACTTCAAAGAAGTGTGACTGGCCCAAGGTCACCCAGCAGCTGCATGTGGAGGAGCGGAGACGCGAACCCGGTTCACCAGATTACGAGTCTACCACTCTTAACCACTACACCACACTGGCTCTCCACACTGGAAGAGCCCACACTCAGGACACTGTGCTGCCGCCACATGCTGAAGTGCTGCTGCTGCCTACCACACCATCTGCACCTCAGAGAAGCGGTTCCCCAACAGGGCGGATGCGCATAGCCAAGTGATGAGACAATGGCCAGTGCCAACAGCAGTGGCACCATGGGCAGCTGGAGCCCTTGTCGTGTGCACCGCATAAAAAAACCAGAACCCCCCCCCCCATCCTCTCCCTGTACGTCATTTTAGGCATCCGATTTCTGTATATGTATGGAATTTTCGGATGCATGGCAAGCCTAAACTTACCCTCTATTTGATCGCAAGTGTACATGGATTAACTTGCAGGATAGAACTAGCACCTGGTTTCATAAGTTTATTGCAATGATGATTATTGCCTAATGGGTGATGCGGATGGCAGGAAAGAGAGATTAGAACTCCGCCATCCTTGTGACTTCAAGTAGTTCTTCAGCTGAGTTCTTCTAAGTGGTCAATGGGCTTTGGGGATCTGGCCCAAATGATGGGTTACTGGAACCCTTGGAGGCCTGCTGTAACAAATTCACAAAAGCACTTACATACATTTGCTCCAAGTAAAATGCCACTCTTAGTAGAGTTAAGGAAGAGATGAAGACCTGGGCCACTGAGCCCAATGGGATCCTCACCTGTGCTTTACTTGTTAGCTCATCTCTGAGTGAGGTTTGTACCTCTCCCATGCATAAAAGGGTCTTTTCAGCAGTGGCTCCTCAGCTATGGAATATCAGTTAACACTTTCTAAAAAACTTATCTCTTTCCCAAGGCTTTTAATGCTGTGGCTCCTTGATGCACTAGGACAGCAATTTCTATAGTTAGCTGGAAGAGAGGTAATATTGACTGATATTTTTTATGCTTTCTATTGGAGCCATTTAACTATTTTTATTGGTATATTGTTTTATGGTTAGTTTGATTTTATATTTGATGCACCCCATCCTGGGATCACTTGCTTGATGAAGAGTGGCTTGAAACAAAATAAATAAATGAAATGTAATACATTTGAGACTGCATTATATAAGGCCACATGCACCGATAGGGAAAGCAGCAACTGAGGTACATTTCTCAGGGCAAAAATTCTCAGGGCAAAAAACTGCAGACAAAGTCATAGAAGAAAGTAATATAGCAGCAAGCGCTTGATTAACAGCCCTGGTGCTTTTTTTTATTGTTATCAACTATTTACAAAGAGGCATTTATATGTTTTGCATCTCTGGGGAACTGGCACTTAGCATTAAAAATACATGAACCACCAATGAAGTTCTGGTGAACCTTATGGCCTGTTAATAATGCAAAAATCTCAGAATCCAGGTGATGATGCAGGTAAACAAAAGAAGGAAGAATGCTGGGAGAAGAATTAGCCTAATGTACAAGAGAAATAATTATGGAAAAGGCAGTGTTGGTTCTTATCTCTGCTTTCTTTCTTTGCTCCCCTCTGTATTATAAAACAAAGTATTGTACAACATCCGACCTCATGCACAAAAGACGAAGTCTAAAAAAATGCACAATAGATGTAATCAGGAGGCTAATATATGGTAATTGCAGCATTTAGATCTCCACACACACAATTCTAAAATGAATGAGTCTAATTATTACCTTAAGAGCATCTTGTGTGTCATCCAGGCAGTAGACACGGATATTATATTCCAAGGATGAGCAGATCAGTGGTCCAAAGATGGCCAGCTTGAGACGCTTGGCAGCTGCTTTGGTGATCGACTGCCCTACCAAGGCGTAGGTGCTGAGAGTTTCTGTCAGGATATGGCAGGCCTCTGGATCCAACTGAATGTAGCATGGGGTGGTGAAGTTTTCTTCTCCAACTGCTACCACATCCTAAAAGGTGGGAAGTTAACAACACAAAAGAACAAATCAGCCATATGCTTGATGGGATCCATCCAGCTCATTGTTATGATTCAGGAACCACCTACCCAATTAAGGTGCAATGGTGAGATTTTCAAAAGCAGGAGGTGTCTGACAGCAGAGATAGCCAAGAAGCTGAGAATCAGGGGCCAGCATTCAAATAAGTTTAGGGATTATATCTTTCGGGACCTTTGTTTTTTATTTACTTATTTCTAGAAGAATGAATTGATGCTTTTGAATTATGGTGCTGGAGGAGACTCTTGAGAGTCCCATGGACTGCAAGAAGATCAAACCTATCCATTCTTAAGGAAATCAGCCCTGAGTGCTCACTGGAAAGACAGATCCTGAAGCTGAGGCTCCAATACTTTGGCCACCTCATGAGAAGAGAAGACTCCCTGGAAAAGACCCTGATGTTGGGAAAGATGGAGGGCACAAGGAGAAGGGGACGACAGAGGACGAGGTGGTTGGACAGTGTTCTCGAAGCAACCAGCATGAGTTTGACCAAACTGCGGGAGGCAGTGGAAGACAGGAGTGCCTGGAGTGCTCTGGTCCATGGGGTCACAAAGAGTCGGACACGACTAAACGACTAAACAACTAAACAACAACAATAAGAAGCATGTCTAACATGAGTCTACCACTAAAAAGAAACACTAGTTATATAGATACATTGACTTCTAAAAGAAAGCCTAGCAGGAAAGGTGCGCTGATCCATTTTCTAAAAAATCATCTCGTGAAAGCCATCTCACTCATTCTATTTGCAAGCTTACTAAGGAAGAGCATAAGTGAAGATCAAGAGCATGGACAAAACTGACCTGCATAACTGATTATGCTTGTGGACAATTATCCTGCTCACAGGTCCATATGCAAAACAAAACCATAGAGAAAGGGCCATAGTGCAATGGCAGATGACCTGCTTTGCATGCAGAAAGTGCCAGGCACAATCCCTAGCATCCCTGGGTAGGGCAAGGAAATAAATACCCATGCCTGAGATCCTGGAGAAGTGCTGCCAGTCAGTGCAGACAGTAGTGATGGACCAATGGTCTGACTGAGAGGAAGGCAGCTTCCTACCACTGGACCACAGGCAAAGAGATACTTTTGAATACGTTCCCTGCTTATTTTTCTGTGCAATACTGCATGGGGACAAAAGGTGTCTGGTAAGTTTGGTTCAAAAATAAAACAAGCAAGAACAGAGGAATGTGCAACTGCAAATGTTGTATCTGTGACACACGGTGCTCTGACGAACCTTCTCTCTGCAGTCTCCAAAGGATGCTGACAATGCTGGTGATCCAGGGAAATAGGGCTGCTGGATCTGGTTATTTCCTAGCTTGGGAACAGATTTAAGACTCTGGGTAGAGGTGATGCTGCACATTTGCAAAGGTGACACCATCCTTCTTAAGGGCTAGGAAGAAAGGTGCCACCTGAAATGCTGATTCTACGCACCCCTGCTAGCCAAGTCATGAAGCATTTGTGCAGGCACTCATAAGGCTGACCTGCCTTCAGCCATGCAAACATCTGTTCAACTGCGTAAGAGCAAGAGACAGGAGATTGGTTCCAAAAAAGCGTGAGTGAGGAAGCTTGCTGAAGGTGAGGCTTACTATGCAAGAACCTTGGTGATTGTTTGCAGACTATGTGTGTGATTCTGGAAACTAGTTTTAACAACTGCATGGTCATGATGAACATATGAAGTTGCCTTCTCCTGAAAAAGAGCATTGGTCCATTTAGCCCAGTCTCAAGGAAGACAGAGAGCTTTTCGCAGCCCTGAGCTTCTGGATTCAGAGATGCCTCAGGGCTTCCGTTAACGGATGGAACAATGTATTTAGCTGTAACTGCTTTTGGGTTTTTTTTTATAATTATAATTGTTTTTAGAACATTCTGTTTTAGAGTGTTTTAGCTTTGCTTTTAAATTGTGTTTATCTGTCCTGGGTTCCTTGGGGATATAAATTCAATCCATCAATCAATATTTTTGTATTTTATTGCATTTCTATACTGCTTCACAGCAAGGCTCAATGAATGAAATACAAAAATGAAATATAAGCAATAAACACAATGAAACGCCATATACAGAATAAAAGTAAATTGCACACACAAGGAATAAAAGACAGGGACTCCAACTGAAGCCTAATTCAATTAAGGCCTCTTCCACTGCATTACAGAAAGCAAGAACACTTGCAATGGAGTTTCTCAGTGTACATGGGGAATATATGCAGAAGATGCAGAGCCTAAGCTGTGTAGGACTTTAAACACACAACCAAAACACTTGAACTGGGCCTTGAAATAAACAAGTAGCTTGTGCATGCAAAACATGTGTAAAATAGTCTGAGCTATAATTTTCCCACAATTCAAACCATTGTCCTCTGTCTGCAGACCTACACAGAAAGGCAGAATCAGTGCCATATCTGCAGCCCTGCTGGCATAGGTATCCGGTCCAGCAGTGGCGTCATGCTGCCATTATTTAGAATAGTCAGATAATTTACAACAAATGACTAATAACTTGTCCTGAAGAGTTGTGGCAAGCAAGCAATTATGGTGGTATATGTTGAAGGTCTGTAGACTCACCTCCCACTGTCCCTGGGCAGTTTGGTTCTTCAGCTGGATCTTCCAGTCTTCCGTGTTTGGTTCCGCACAGTGGTGCATTGTCAGAATGACAGGGCGGGTCAGCAGTGCTCCTGGAGGTCCACAGCTCACCACAGGGGTCAAAAGAGTTTGGCTGTCTTCTACTGGTGGCCTGGCAAGATTATAGGAAGGGAAATCCATGTTTTTCCACATGATTTTAATAAATATTATGTAGAAGCAGGTTTGTTTTTCAAATCTATCATCATAGTTATTCCTCAGTGCAAGATGCGATGTTCCTTAATGTTTAAACCATTGCACAAGAAGGAAGCACGCAAGAAAAAACACAAAAATCCCAGAACAATGGTAGCCAGCCTTTTTGGTAAGTGCGGCAAAGTTCAAGTTGACTATAAACTATAGAAGTCTTTGCCAACCTGGTGCTCTCCAGATGTTTTGGACAACATGTGCCACCAGCCCCAGTAGTTCAAAACATCTGGTGGGCACCAGGTTGGAGAAGGCTTCTATAGAGCAATTTTAATTAATTGTATTTTTTATTTTAGATTTATAAACCGGCTCATGGCTGGAGGTCATCGAAGCAGCAGACAAGATAAAAAAATTAGTATAAAACAAGACACGACTTCTAAAAGCAATAAATCATTTCTATTAAAACAGTCACATATCTGCAAATATACAATGTATGTTCTGTTGGCAACTGGGTCACACCCTCAGGGAAAGCCATCTTCAATACAAACATCTTCAATGACTTCAATGACTGTCTAATTCAGGCTGGTAAGTGATTCCAGAGGGTGGTTCTAGATCAGGGGCAGGGAACTTCATGCCAAGCAGTCAAATGTGACTCTCCAAGCCTCTCTAGGTCACATTCTCTCCCCAAACCACACCCCATATTGGTCCTTCTCTGCACACACCTTGAGTGCTTCTGCCTGGTTAGAATGCATCATTTGATCATGTTTGCTGCTCTTCCGGATGGACAAAGAGGTGTGCATTTGTAGAAACCTCTGGCTTTTGCATGGCTGAATTGTGACCATGCCTACCACTTTCATGTGTCACCCAGAAGTGCCTACCACCTTCCCTAGACTATAGACTTGTGGCCCCAATCTCATTTTATATGGTCCTCAGCACTTCCTGAAGCTGCTCCATTCTCCTATCCCTCCAGAGTCCCTTCATTCCTTCCTGCTTCTTCCCTCCTTGTTTTTCTTGGATCTTTAAATGTTCTCTCCCTCTTTTTATGTCACTGCAGAACCATGGTTCGAAAGTTGAAAAAAATAACACTGCCTGCACACAAGGCCTAGAAATGGAGGGATTCTGTACTATGGATGAGAAAAGGTCCAGCAGAGAAGGGAGTAAGCTGCACTCCCAAAATATCTATCAGTTATAAAGACTCCAGCCTAGTCCACACATCACAGTATGCTAAACCAAGGCTTACCAGGGTGGTGCAAATGAATGCTTTTGATTACTTGTTCATCATAAAGGGCATCACTGTACTAACTAGGTTTAAAATAGTTTAATTGTCTTGACTCTCTCAAGGAACACTGGGAACTGTAGTTTTATATAAGGTTTCTGAGAATTCCATTCCCTACCTAACCTTCTCAGTGAGCTACAAATCTCAGGATTCCCCATGGGGAGTTCATGCTAGCAAACCGATTGTGCCATCTGTCAGTATGTCTGCGATTTGGTTTGCAAAAGTAAAATCTTGCTTTTTGACTGACATGCAGTTTCAACAGCTATTTTCAAGGAAAAGGAGAAAGAAAAGCGTAGAGTGAGAAGAGGGAAATGAATCACTCACAAAGAGCAAATGGTAACCCTTCCAGTCGGGTTAACTAAAGGCTTTGCAAATTTAAACCTATTGTCTTCCTACTGCTGTCTTGCTCTATTAATTTTTTTGTTTGCCTCTTCTTCCAAATTAGGATTTCCCATTTCATTCTTATCACTTTTATCCTCCTCCATGTTTAAATTTTGAAAAAGGTGAGCAAATTTCCCAGTAACTGAAAATGATTCACAATTTTGTCTACAGATCCAAACTGAGACAGAGAGGATGTCTGTACAGGCTTTTAATTATTTGGATTTTTTTATTCACAGCTGCTACGGTGAGCTAATAAAACTCGTACGATGATCAAATTAATCTGTCAAATGCATTCCTTAAAAAAGGGTAAGTGTTTAAAAAATATTCTCCAACTCCCGACTCATAAAGGGATCTCATAAATGTTATTTTAATATTCTGCTCCTTTTCAATATCTTTCAATATCTGTTTGCCAGTCACCCACATCACAGCATTCTACCATCACCAAGAGATGGCAAATGTGCTCTGGAAGCTGCTTTTAATAACATCACATGGTAATCACAATAGTGCTAGACCTTTGCAAAGATTCAATAATAATCAAAAGCATTACTTGCCCACTTATATGAATGGGACTTAAATGTGCTCAGGTTAGGCTGGGTTCTAAGCCTCATAGAGGGAAAACAAAGTCTTTAAAATAGTGCTCTTTGCTGGGTTGCCAGGTGATGTGACCAAGCTGAACATGGTTAGGATCCAGCCTAAGTCCCTCTTCTCTGGTCCCACCCCACCCCACTCCCAAAATACCACTTTTGGGGAGACTTGGGACGTGGCTGGTGCTGTGGGTTAAACCACAGAGCCTAGGACTTGCCGATCAGAAGGTCGAATCCCTGCAACGGGGTGAGCTCCCGTTGCTTGGTCCCTGCTCCTGCCAACCTAGCAGTACAAAAGCACATCAAAGTGCAAGTAGATAAATAGGTACCACTCCGGCAGGAAGGTAAACACAGTTTCTGTGCACTGCTCTGGTTCACCAGAAGCAGCTTAGTCATGCTAGCTACATGACCTGGGAGCTGTACGCCGGCTCCCTCGGCCAGTAAAACGGGATGAGCGCCGCAACCCCAGAGTCGGTCACAACTGGACCTAACGGTCAGGGGTCCCTTTACCTTTACCTTACACCGGTCTTGACTCTACCAGCTTCAGCTCAGCTGGCAGAGCCAGGATAAGCAATTTCCGCCTGCGTATATTGGGTTAAGCCAGGGCTGGAGACTTAATGCTGGCTGAAGCAGCTTATCCAGGGCTGGTCCAGGATGTTTCACCAATTAAGGCCATTCCCCTGTGTCCCCTGCTGCACAATGCAACCCTTTGCATGCTAACAATGCAACCCTTTGCATGTCTATTCAGAAATAACATTCATGTGTTTTCCATGGGGCTTACTTTGAGGAAAGCATGCACTGATCCTTATCTCTTTGCTAATAAAGTACTGGTTTACGGTTGCTAGAGCAATTAATAGAATAATTTGAAAGAATATATATCTCATTCCTTTATTATACTTTGCGATTTAAATCTGTAATTAAGAGATGCTAAAGAATTGCTATGTCATATGGTAGCAGCAGCTAGCTTTCTTTATGCTGAGTACTGTAACAAAAGAACAATTCCTATAAATGAGGAATGAAAGAAGATAAATTTCATTGATATGAAATTAAGGAAAAATCAACACGTAAGAACCAAAGAAGGAAGACAAAGATGTAATTATTACAACAAAGACTGTTGTTTGTTTCTCAAGTTTTGAAACAGCAAAACACATACTTTTATTGATGTTAATCAAGTGATTAATGTTCTAGAGATTGTCGCTGACAAACATTACAGCTTAGAAGATGTTTAAAAAGGTGTGCTTACTATTATTCGTAAGGGTAATAATATAGGGAAGTTTTGTTTATGTATTTTTGCAACAGTATTTTGTAAAATAAAAATAATAACACATATCTCAAAAATAACAATGGGCATAATTACATTGGGATGGTAGAGAGTCCTGAAACAATGCTGAACTTACAGAATATTCCTTGCCATTAACATGCCTTTTGGGGAGAGTGAAGCGAGATCCTGTGAGTATCTGACAGCAACACTACCATTTCATATGGACCATTAGATTCCCATGCTGATGGCTTACTAACACTTTCACTGACACCCTCAGGCTTTTATGTGCTTTAATGGGAAGATAGCACATGAGAGGCCTCACAGTGCTTTGACACCCACAACCTTCATCCAGCAGAAAGAGCAGCTTTATTATTTGGCCAAAGAGTGAATGCTGTCAAGCTCAAGCGGAATGAATCTAGGGAGATTAGAAAGAGAGATAAAAGTTCTGGAGCATGGAGGTGCAAAAACAAGGAGCTGGGATGGAGGCCTGGAGGAATAACACATTTCTGCTTTTAGTCTGAGCTATTAAGAGCTGCTTTGTCACATTCTGAAGTGAGGCTCACGGGACGCCATGTTTGCAGCGAATTAGCTTTGCTCAAAGAGGGCCTGGTTTTCTCATGCCTCTAACACTCGCAACACAATCTTATGCATGTTTACCCTAGGCTACAGTCTTAAGCACAGGTACCTAGGAATCAGACCCATTGGACTCAATGAGACTTCTTTCCAAGTACAGGATTGCAGTGCTGAACTTGGCTTGTAACTTTCCATTGTTAAAATCAAGCTTGTACTTCAGTACTCAAACAACTACCGCTGATGATTATTTCTATTGGTGTTTTTGTAAAATGTACAGTTGTGATAAGTAAAAGGTAAAGGTACCCCTGCCCATACGGGCCAGTCTTGACAGACTTTGGGGCTGTGTGCCCATCTCGCTTAAGAGGCCAGGGGCCAGCGCTGTCCGCAGACACTTCCGGTTCACGTGGCCAGCGTGACAAGCTGCATCTGGCAAGCCAGCGCAGCACACGGAACGCTGTTTACCTTCCCGCCAGTAAGCGGTCCCTATTTATCTACTTGCACCCGGGGGTGCTTTCGAACTGCTAGGTGGCAGGCGCCTCGGTTGGCAGGCTGGGACCGAGCAACGGGAGCGCACCCCGCCGTGGGGATTCGAACCGCTGACCTTTCAATCGGCAAGTCCTAGGTGCTGAGGCTTTAACCCACAGCGCCACCCGCGTCCCACAGTTGTGATAAACCATCCTAAATCCTGGATTTCAGAATGATGCTGGTCTGCCGTGCTACAGGCTTACATAGCTCTTGATGGGTTTTTTGTGTGACACTTTTTGGAGGTGGATGGGTGGGAGGGAGTTGGATATAACCCTGTTGAACAGCACCTTCAAGGCTGCTGCTTCCCCTCTTGAATACTGGCATGAACCTGAGAGCTGAGTAGCTGCAAAATTCAAATTCCTACACCGCATGAGAGAGACCTCTGGTTAGATTTACAAACACACACACACACACACACACACACACACACACAGAGTGTTCCATTTCTGGGTCTGCTTGCAAACCATTCTGTGGCCTCAGCAGCTTTTCCAGTCTTGTGTCGATACAGATATATGCTGATCAGAACGCTGTGTTCACACACTTTGCCTCCTCCCTGCAATTAGCGCTAAAGCAAATGCACCGTAAGCAGAGCCTTCTTTTACCTCATGTTTTCTTTTCGGTGAACTGTCACATACATTTCATAGACTCTCCCCTGGGGAACGGCCCCTGCAGGAATCAGCAAACTTACTCCTGCAGAACAACAACGAGAGAGAGAGAGAAAAGCAGATAAAATAAAGAGTGGAAAAGAAAGGCAGGCTGACCTTTTGAGGACGAAGCTCGGGAACACATGGCTCTGCATGCCAAAATCCCACTCAAAGCAGGGTGCTTTATGGCTATCTTGATGCTTTTACCTGGCAGTTTATTACTTGCTGATGCCTCTTCCGCTTGTCTCCAGCAATGAAGGAGTCGGAAAAGGGGGTGTTTCCCCCTCCCTTCTTGTTTTATTTAAGGAACAAGCAGATGGCTGCTCTGTTGCTTACATTGTAAAAATGAAGGAGGGGGAAACAACAATTACATCTACTATTCCAAACAGTAGTAATGGGATCATTTCCCTTGGCAATTCTCATTTAATTAAACTTTTAGAAAGGCCAGCAAAGCATTGCCCCATGAAACAACAGGAGCATTTTTTTTCTGCCGCCCAGAAGATATCAGTTTATCTGGTCATCATCTACCATTTAGATGTGATAGTCCTGAATATTGTTGAATAGGGCATGGGGAGCTAGGAATCGCTCCAAACCAGATCCTAAAATAAATGAAAGAAGTTAATGGAAGGAAAGTTTCATATCTGTTCAGCAACCCCTTGCCTCCCAGCCCCATCCCCCACTTATCTCATGTTCAGGGGAAGAACTATAACAAACAGATAGAGCTTCTGGTTTCTTGCAGAAGATCCCAAGGTCAACCCCTGCTTCCTTCAGGTTGGGATGGGAAGACTGGAGAACCACTGCCAGTGACAGTATTGAGCTAGCCATTGCTCTGACTCTGTATAAGGTAACTTCCTATGCATTTCCCTTTGTTCAGGAGGGCCCCCAACATCCTGATAAGGTGCTGTTGTTGTGGGGGGGGGTTTGGGGGGGAGAAGGGGAAGGAAGCTTTCCTTCCATGACCTTCCTTAAATCAGTATGCAATGTAAAATGTAATGCAATATGTGTATGTACAGTATGTAACTAAAAAACCAATAAAGATTATCTTGAAAAAATAAATGTATGCAATATCATAGAATCATAAAATCATAGAGTTGTAGAGTTGGAAGGGACCCTGAGGTTCACCTAGTCCAGGGGTCTGCAACCCGTGGCTCCGGAGCCGCATGTGGCTCTTTTACACCTTTGCCGCAGCTCCGGGGCGGATACTAGCGAGGGGAGGAGGCGCATTGTGTGCCCCTGACACTCCCCACTGTGGCAGGCGCTGTACTGGCTGTGACGTCGCATGGGGTTAGTCACGCACCGTCCTGACGTCACCTTCCCGGTTTTGCGGCTCCCTTTTCCCCCCCCCTTCGGAAACGGGTCCAAGTGGCTCTTTTTGTGTTAAAGGTTGCAGACCCCTGACCTAGTCCCTGCAATGCAGGAACATGCAGCTGTCCCATACAGGGATTGAGCCTACAGCCTTGGTGTTATCAGCACCATGCTCTAACCAACTGAGCTATCCAGGCTACCCTTTTCCAGATGTTCTAAATGGGTGCAATGGACACCTAGGAAGGGTGGGGTGGCGGCATTGTGGTAGCATACTCCACCCCACAGCTGCACACATTAATTCCTGAGAGCCTGCATGCATTTAGTTAAATGCACAGTGAATTCCCCCTGTACAGCTAGAAACCCTTCCTTTGCAATGCTCTGTGTGCATTTAAATGTACTTCTGAAAATGACCATTACAATCCAGGAAAAAGAACTTTCCCTATTTGAAACCCCTAAATATTGCATAATAACTTTCAAATACGAAAACACATATGTACTGAGGGGTTCAATGCAGCAAGAGCAACACTTTGCACTGGAATCTGCGCCGAGAAAAATAAAAATCTTCGTATTCTATGCATCTTCCTTTCTATCCATGGTGTTTACAGCAAACTGAAACTTGGAATGACTAAATTGTTTTGTAATTAATTTGTCCTTTTATGTCTAGTGCCAACAGTGAGGCTTTCTGCCTTGAAGGTTGGTCTGTCTTTTGGTGCTGCATGAAAGAAAAGGTCAAGGGTTCTGAATCCCACTTCACACATGGAAGTTGAGAGGCCAATGCTTCTGAAGGCAATGACTCAGAGCTTTGCAATTTTCTGCTAAAGAAGGCCAGGGCTTTGGGGAGCAAATATGTGTAATAGCTGAATAAACCCAAATTGGAGAAAGCACTCTTTGGTCTAAACACAGAAGATATAGATTTCCAAGAGTGACCTAAATAATTTTATTTGCTGGGGGTGTGTGTGTGCGTGCGTGCACGCACATGCGCGCATGCACACACTTTAAACCATATTTTGGACACATCAGTCAGTTTAAAAAATAAATTTTAAAAAACCAACTACTGTATTTGAAGTCACTTACCTGAATTTGGTACAATCAGATGACCTCCAAGAGAGTTGAAGGTGCTAAAAGCAGTGCATGATGGGTCTGTCTGCCGTGCAAGACTCTGATTTTTAATGTTTAATGCTTCGTTATCCAGCAAGGATTGAGTGATCTGTGGGGAGAGTTTGGACGAAAAGTCGGACAGCTCATCCTGTGGAGTGACTGCACCCGAATTGTTGTACACCTTGATCTTCAAGTTGGGAAGTGGATCAAGAATGGGTGAGTTGGTCATTGGTATTTTATCTGACACATCATGCAAAGCGTAGACGGGGCCTCTGTACATGGCTGCAGCAGAAGTGAGGTCTGGAGGCACAGCTAGGAGGTCTGTTTTAATAAAAAGAAAAGTAATATGGAAATTATTATGCATAAGATATACTCTTTACTAGGTGCAATATTGGCTGGAGTTAAAAAAATAATGTGGCTTTGTGGCAGATGAAATCCAGCATGAATATCTATATCAAGGGTAGCTAATATGATGCTCTCCAGATGTTGAGAACACCAGTTTAGGTGACCCTGATTTACATGGAGACATAGTGAAGACTGCTTGTCTGGGGGGGGGGAGTTGCTATTCCTTACTTGATGTATTGAGAGGCGATAATCACTGGCTTTTAGCTGGATCCATATGATTTACATCCTTGCTTTCGTCAACAGGTTAAAAGGGAAATTCATTCTAATTGAACATACTACTGGAAATAATGAAAATAAAGGAAAGTATCTCTCTAACCTTAAAGAGTTCGTCTTTTTACTATACAAGTCAAAGAATATTTCAAAAACTGCAACAACTCCAAAGCCTGTTTGAAAGGAGACTAACGCAATTCAGGAAAAAATGAACATCCCTATTACTCTACCAAGTCTCTGAAAACCAATAATTTGTTTGCATTAGGTCAGCAAAGCTACAAAAACCCAAGACTAGACAAATCCCATAACTTTTAATATTGATTTTAGCAGCAGAACCCAAGCTCAGAATTTTGAAAACTGTATTTCTCTCCATGAAGTCCAACAGCTAGCAATAATGAAATCCCAAATTCATGCCAAAATATTAGTGAAGTTTTGAAGTGTGAAACTCAGAATTATTTTTCTTTCAGCTCCTGCCAAGTATTCTTCGTTATTTATAATTGTGTTTCTGAATGCAGATTCTCTCCCCTCATTACTAATTTTGATGCAAGTTTGAAAGTGCCTGGTTCATATGCACTTTGTTTGGTTATATGAAATTTCTATAGTATAGAAGTAAGTGTACCAGCAAATGTTTAATAATGATGGTGGTGATGGAGCAATAAGTCAGGACTGGATTTAAAGTACTGGACAGAGGGCAACAGTTAATAAGGCTATAGTCATGGCAAGTGGAGTCCAACTCCAAATTTCTCTGAAGGAAATGTTCTCTGTCATACTTTTCATGCAAAATGCTGACCGCAAAACATCAGCCTATGCAACCAAATGGAACAGGAAAACGAAACAGAGAATTCCAAATAACTATGAAATCATGTACTTTATCATTCCTAGTCAGGACTGAATTGTTGCCTGTGGCATCTTCTTGAGTGTCTTCTGCAGCAATGATTTAAATGAATCCTTGGCAACCAAACTGCAGCTCTGCTAATCTTCTGCCTTGGACAAAACTCTGGCTACGTTTACTACCAACTTGATTTAACTTTAATTTGCAAAATATGATTTATTTAAAGAAAAAAAGAATTGCAGCCTCAGCAAGCGCTTTTCATCAAGTGCCAAGAGGCTTACATGCCTTCATTTTCTGAAGCATCATAGCCACAAATATTTATGAGCACAATCAAGCCTAAGGGTCAATTTATATCATCAATATATTTCCCACCCCCCTGGGCTGTACTACTGAAGGCTGCAGGTTGAATGATCTGAGGCTGGATTTGGTCCTGGTGTCTCCAAACCCTGTACCGAAAACAGACTCCTGATTGAAGAGACTTACCATCTAGATTTGCCACAATGAAAGGGAGACTAATAGGTTTAAAATGGGATTATGGAAGATAAGGGAAGTTAAATTGATAGCATTCAGTGAAAACCTACATTCTGTCATCATCCTGTTGATTAATTGCTGATCCATAATTTCATGACCTGCCTTTTAGCACTTGTCCCATGAAACAAATACATATAACAAAATGAAAACCTTACTGGATAGCTCAGTCGGTAGAGCATGAGACTCTTAATCTCAGGGTTGTGGGTTCAAGTCCCATGTTGAGTAAAAGATTCCTACACTGCACGTGATTGGAGCAGATGATCCTCATAGTCCTTCCAATTCAGTGATTTGGTGGATGAGGCCAAAGGACTATCTAGTCCAGCATTCTGCTCACACAGAGGCACATTGGGACCTGAGTGCAACAGTGCTCTCCCTGCTTGTGGCTCTTAGGAAATGGTATTCAGAGGCATACCGGCTCCAAGAGTAGAGGGAGAACATATCAATTATAGCCATTGATAGTCTTCTTCTCCATAAAGTTGTCTAATCCTCTTTTAAAAGATGGCCATTCAAGTTACTAGCTGTCACTAAACCTGGTAGGAAGATAAGAGTATATACAAAGACATACATACAGATAACTTTTGATTCCTTATAGGGTGCTAGGTGCTAGGACCCCTTCAGGAAATGTACTGTAATTCACATGGCCCTAGAGATTGTCTTTTTATGGTCAATGTGGAAGGCCAAAGGGAAACTAACCTTGCCTCGCAGCTTTGATATTAACAGGCTGAAATCCACCATTTAGCGCTGAGGAGTCTATAATGTCTGACTCAAAGTCCCGGTGGTTCTTCCTGTAGATGAATAATGCGACGATCACTGAAATAGCCAGGCACACGATCACGGCTATCACAATCCCGACATAGAGAGCTACGTCATCTGAATCAGGAGCAGCTGGGGGGAAAGTGGGTGGGTTGGGGCACAGAAGCATAAAGTATTAATTACGGTCTCAAGAATGTATGAAAGTGTACTTAGACATTGCTATCCTTTCCTACAGATGCATACTAGCAGCTTTATAGGTTAATTTAAAAACTACTTCAAAAACTCTCCACTTTTAGTAGATATTTATATTTATTAAAAATAATTCTCATAGCTGTTTTCTAATTCTTCATCTATGTATCCCTCTTTCTTGTAAGGAGGTAGAATAACATACTGTTTATAACCGGATGAACAAGGCAAATTTAATCAAAAGAGGTATTCACCATAGCAGTTCATGGTGAAATTATCAATGCTAATTCATCAAGGCATGTGATCATAAAATAGACTCTCTTTCTTCCTCCCCTGCCCCTTACATTGAATGTTTCACTTTTTAAAAAGCAAGCCAACCTTAAACTAAACAAGTACAGAAAATGGCAGTCATCTTCCGAATCTGATATTCATCAAGCGTATTTCTTAAGGGAAACTTGTATGCCAAAATTCCATGGCCTGAAAGGGGGCTTAAGAGCACATAACTGTGTCTTCAGTTAATCGCAAAGTTTCCACCAAGATATTCACTGTGATTGCTGTGTAGTTTAGAATTCTCCTGCATACACATACAAATATTCAGGGACGGACCTATGATTAGACAGAGTGAGGCAGCTGCTTCAGGCAGCAGATACTGAGGGGTGGGGAAGGAAATACAGTTGTGAGTGCCATGCGGCCTGCCCTGTACCCCTTACGCTAGCTGGCTGTCCTTAATCGCAGGTGAAGATACTTTCCGTTCACCAGTACTGCAGTAAGATTCAACTGCCAACCCAACTGGTTTCTGTATGTCCCATTGGGAAGAGTGCTCTTTCACCTCAGGCAGCAAGATGGCTTGAGATGGCCCTGCAGATCTCTTTTGTCTGCAATAAACAAGCTAGCAATCCACACCAGAATCCACATATGTGGAGAATTGCCCCCTCTATTGAAGGGACAAGGAAAGCTCCATGGGCGCTCTCATGACTAAGGGGATGTGGGTACACTGCTGCTGAATAGCACAGTGTGCTTCCTCTAAAGCAAGGTTGGAGAACCTATGGCCCTCTAGATGGTGTTGGCCTCCAGCTTTCATGCAGAGTGCAATAGGAATGATTACTTCAGCAGAACATATACTAAACTGTCAGCTAATCACAACTGAAAGCTCACAGCTTCCCAATGCCAGCTCTAAAGCCATGAGTGGACCAGCCATTATGGAAGCTCTGCAACACAACAGGAACCTGATGGAAAGTGTCACACAACTAACAAAGAAATGTTTCCTACAGGCTCCTAATCAACAATAAATAAAATATCAAAATAACTGATTATTATTTTTTAAAAAAGCTCTTTTTCAAGACTTTGACTTGAAAGCGATCTTGGGATTTAAGGTCCCCTCCCACATTTATGAGCAAATGGACAGAATTCAAGGGGTTTGCCATCTGCCAAGCAGAAGAAGCCTACAGCAGCTGCCCAAAGAATTAGGAAAGGCTCAAGAGCTTCTCCTGCCTCCAGTGTGGGCTGACAGCGACAATCCAGTCAACTCTACATATAACAGCAGAATAAACAGAAATGTTGCCATGGCTTGAAACACTTACTGGACTTAACTCTGGGGATGGAGTCTGAACTATATGCACAAAGCAGGGTAATACAAGCTGAAGAGTCCTTTCTCCCCTGTGCATCTGTCCATGCATTAATAGTGTTTGAAGGTTCTTCTTCAGCCCTCTGAAGTGAGGTGTCTGGCAACTGGTGGCAAAGTCTTTTGGAGCTAATGTGTTCAAGCTCTAGAATGCTCTGCGTACTTCAATGTCTTATCAGCAAAAGTTTGGTCACTCTGTGTGTTTCTGGATCATGCTTCGCGGTCCTGCTCTAAATGTGGCTTTATGCTGTTGTGATTCTTTTACTTTTAATGTATAGGACAACTTTTTAAATGGAAGGGCAGAGTTAATACTGACTCAACAAGAAAGAAAGTAATGTACGGAACATATCTGAGTCTCCAGAATGTTACACATAAGATTATCCCATGAACCCTTACAAAACCTCTGTAACGTAGGACAGTACTATTAGCTCCATATTGGGGCAAAAGCTTAGAAACAGTAGTTCGCCTACCAAGTTCACAGCTGAACTGAGCTAGAATTTCCCAGCTTACTCACTTTGTTACATTTATCCTCAGAATTCAGTACAGATTCAAGTGCTATAAAAACCTCTAAAAGCAAGCCAGGATTTTCAGTAGTTCTCCTAAGGGAGCCTGTCCAGCTTGTGAGAATTTTCACTATCTCCTTGTAACACATCTCCTTTGCTAATCCCAGTGTAATACTTAATGCCACTCTTTGCACATACCCTCCCTCAAGGTATCTTTCCAAAAGGCTTAAGTATGTAACACAAATTTGATGCAGAGTTTTGATGTAGAGAGGGACAAAAATCCCACCATTATTATTTTCAAGAAGGCTAAGATTAGGAAATGCAAACACATCAACAATTTTTTTAGCAAGCCACTTTGCATTCTTTCTGTATAAAGATAACACTTTTCTGAAAGAGAGAGAGAGAGAGAAACACACTTTTTTTTGTTCTTTGCTTCCTTTAAACTCCCCAACAGAGTCCTAGCTACACAGCTGAAAATGGAGAAATCTCCAACAAGGAATGATCAAGTTCAATTTACTCTGTGCTAATGGAATTTAAAGGCTCCATTTTGCAATTGTTGCCACTTATTTTATTCAGCCTTCTCAAACAAGAGTAGAAGCAAAATCTGCCAACCATATATTCCCTCTTGCAAGTTTCTCTTCCTTAATACTAATCACATGTTTGCAGCCATGTTATGCTTCCTGTTCCCCGGCTTCTGTGGGGATCTGAATACACTTCTCTCAGTCTCTCGCTTCCACATGTTTTCCTGTTGTCCTTTTCTCATCCCATTATCTACACTGGTTTCTTTAATGTAGCAGCCAATACACCTCTTTAAAGCTAGCAAAACACATACAAGTTAGGCTGAAAGCAAATCTTGGGAGCAGGAAATTGGTATCTAAGAACATAATATCAAACAACACTTACAAGACAATCCATATTCATTCTGGGTTCTCTGTTCGGTTGAAATAGGGTAAATGAAACCTTTAAAAGAAAAAAAAGATGGGAACAAAATCAAATTAACAAAGGGAGCTTTTTTAAAAACAAAACCAAAAAAACCAAACAACACATGAAGAATGGTTTAATTTAAAAAGGGAAAAAAAGGAAAAGGAAAGGAAACCCATGGTACTTTAAAATTCTGATTCAGCACACTATTATAATTTTGCATCTCCTGTCTGCTCAGGAGCCTCACTAAGAATTAATAAGTAGGCAGATTGAATTTCAGAGCCAAAAATCGGTCTCGAGTCACTAACTTTGGAGTGCTTAAAGTCTTTCTTTTATTGAGCATAAACTCTAATGGATCTAATTTATTTCAGACATCAAGGGTCATTAGCATATGGAAAGTCTTCTTCCCCCCAATCCTTGCCATATGCTTTAATTCCCAGGACATGTTCAGTGGGGCTCTAAACAGTTTTTTTTATTTAATTATAGTAGCTTGCTGTTGGCCTAATAGAACTGAAAGAGACCTGCCGTCATTGGTCAGAGGTTAAATACCCATTTACAGAGAGCTCAGCCCATGCAAAAGCCTCATTCCCCCTGCCCCCCCCTTTCCCCTAGATTTCCGGGGAATGGTTTTAACCTCCCCTTTAATAGAAATCCAATAGGAATTCTCCAGGGAGCAAGCAATTTGCCAGAGAGTTGGAAATGGAATGTGTTCCATTTGAGATCATTAGAAAATCAATAGGAGCCTTGAGATTGTAAAGTAATTTATTTTAGATTTTGAAGGCTTTGTGTAATATTGACAAAATCATTGCACAATTCACATTTTTTATCCTGGAGACAAATAGCAAGAAAAGTGACTTTCTTCCTGATTTCCTGTGATAATTCAATGCTTCTAGGCAATCTGCCCTGTGGCTCCTGTGACGGAGAAAAGCTGTTGTTGTTGTTACTTTGTGCCAATACAGACATGATTATTTGGAAGTAAGTTCCTGCTGAGACCAATAGGACTTACTCCCAGGCAAACATGATTAGGATCAGGGCACCAGCTAGAGTGAATTTGGCCCCACTTGTGTTCACAAAAAATACCCCCTGTGCCTAGATAGAAAAACACTGCAATGTTGGGCATGTGGGAAATAAAATGTCTGAAGACTGCTAGAAGTTGCTACCATTTCTACATGTACATCTCAAATCCTGGACTCTAAAATATGAGCCCATGCAACTTCAAATGTGTGGCTTCAAGAAGCAATTCAAACAAAGCAATACTACGTAAATGGAGGACATGGTGTTTTGTGTAAGGTAAAGGAACTGTAAAAGATACTGCAATATGTAAGAATTAGGATTTTATGTGGCTAGACATCTCTTCTGAGCTCCCTGTCTATTGAGATCAAGCAGGAACCTTCACTGTACTCTTTTTGTCACCTGCTAAAACATTCTTGTTTAAGTAAGTCAACCCAGATGCTTAGAAAGTTGAGGTAACTAAAATATTTTAGTATTTTAAATTTGTTTGTTTGCTTATGAAATTTTCTTGAATTTATTCTTTTATCTTTTCTTTTGAGGTTTTTTACAAGCAAGTGGTGTATAAGTTTTATGAAACAAGCACATTGTAGACACCTTTTTAGCTTTGGCCACACTTCTCAGGCATGTGTTTATGCGACTATCACTTGCAATCCCATAACAGTCCACCATTTTCAGCCTCAGACCACCATGAATATGTTAGTGGAAATAAGCAAAGTGGACAAAAGAACGGACTTGGCTTCTCAACTTTACACTCTGACCCTTTCACCTGTCCTAATAATTCTATTTCCCAGTCAATACTGCAGAAAAGCAAAAGCTCAAAGGCTGTGGCTTAATGGCAGAGCTCATGGTTTGCATGCAAAAGGCCTGAGGTTCAATGCACAGCATCTTTAACTATGGCTGGGAAGGAAGCCTGTCTGACACATTGGAGAGCTAGTGTCAGTCAGTGTTGACAATACTGAGTTGGATGGACCAATGGCCTGACTCGGTATAATCGGCTTCCTACGTTCCAAGGGTGATAGTGCCGCAAGGGTGACAGAGTGAAATTAGATCACTATGAGACCCAAGAGATGCTTCTAAACTCTCCGTAGATTGAATGTTAATGGCTGGGTTTTGTCTCTTTCCATACATACTTCCTGTTATTGGGTTTGGCTTCTTATTAATGAAAAGGCTGAACCATTCCATAACTTAGATTTGCTTTCAGATTCCTAGCTGATTCACGTTAATAATAATAATAATAATAATAATATATTATTTATACCCCCCCCCAATCTGGCTGAGTTTCCCCAGCCACTCTGGGCGGCTTCCAATCAAGTGTTAAAAACAATACAGCATTAAATATTAAAAACTTCCCTAAACAGGGCTGCCTTCAGATGTCTTTTAAAGAGAAGATAGCTGCTTATTTCCTTCACATCTGAAGGGAGGGCATTCCACAGGGCGGGTGCCACTATCGAGAAGGCCCTCTGTCTGGTTCCCTGTAACCTCACTTCTCGCAATGAGGGAACCGCCAGAAGGCCCTCGGTGCTGGATCTCAGTGTTCGGGCTGAACGATGGGGGTGGAGACGCTCATTCAAGTATACATTACTCCCGCACAAGGTGTCAACTTGAATGGCTTCCAAAGGGAATGGACAAATTCATTGAGGATAAGGTTATCAATATCTAATAGGCATGATGGTCATATAATACCTCCAGTGTGAGAGGCAGTATGTCTCTGAATCTCAGTCGCTGGGAATCACATGTGGGGAGAGTGCTGTTGCACTCAAGTCCTGCTTGTAGGCTTCCCATAGGCATCTGGTTGGCTGCTGTTAGAACAGGATGGTGGACAACATGGGCCATTGGCCTGATCCAGCAGAGCCCTTAGGTTTTTATGAGAGGTGTGCAACATGTGGAAACCATCAATGTGGCAGCCAGATGGTTCACAAAGTCCTCTTCACTAGCCATTGACTGTAATGTGGAGTGATGTATTTTGCCTTATGAAAGAGCCATTGCAGAGTAATCCTACGTCAATTCAGCTACAATACCTTGAGCTCAATCCAGCACACCATAGGCCCAGTGCCCACATGCAGAACAATTCCACAAGGCCAAAGAAAGCCTTGATTCAGCTCTCCGCCGTTAGAGTTTGTGCATGGGCACTCAGTGGGAGTTATTCACAAGTCTCCAATTCCCTAAAATGGTCTGATGCTCTGAATATCCACATGCATGCACCACAGGGAAAAGTGGCAACACAACTATATGGGATGCCCCATGTAAATCCCTCTGTGCTCTCTAAACATAGCAGACTGGATTGACCCCTTCCATTTTCAGGGAGGTCAGCTCACACATTTGGCTGAGAGCTACCCAGCACTTGAGTGGTCAACTAATGTCAGATCTCATGATGCAAGCTCAACATAAGACTAAGGGTGGGGTGACCATGTTGCACAAACCACTACCACTAAGTGTAAATGGTGATTTTGCTCTGTGTGATTCAGAAGAAATAACTCTATTTCAGCATATGTTGTTTATACGTATCAACTGAATGCAGGCATTTTGAAAAAATACTCATGGGTGATTAACATAACCCCCCTCGCAACTGTTTATACGCAAACACTTTTGATAATAGGAATTTACTTTAAATCAGAAACTTTAGCACCTTTCCGAAATTACATTTTAATTGAGAATATTAATAGGTTTGGGAGGGGCAAGGAAATTATTTGGGGGACACAAACAATCGGCGTTTGGTGTCAACTGCTTCATAAGATGTGAGCCTGGCCATCTCTCTTTAGGGTTTTTTGTGTGTTTTTTAATGCTTGGCAATCTGATCTTCCATATAATAAGAAAGGACATTTTCTTCAGATAATGAGGCAAATCTGCTGAGATTAGTACCTGCAATAATGAAAAATGACTTTTCTCCCAGCTTCAAAGTGAGAACAGTGCAAAGCAGGGATTTGTAGTCTCTCCTCCTTGATCTATTTTGCTCACAGTATCAGCACTGCGGCATGGCAAGTACCTGAGGGACTTCAACTATCATTGCCACATTTCTTTACTAGGGTAAATGTAGAAAAAAGTGCTGCTGAATTTGACTCCACAATAGTTGCTGGCTCTGTTGATCTGTGCCTGGAGCAGCTGGTGTCATAGTCAGTAACTTGCTTTGAGGGGGAAAAAAGTAATTTAAGATGCCTCAAGTGGCTTTTGATGAAACAAAAAAAAATTATTTTCAAAGGTTCTATCAGTGTTTGTTGCTAACTTCTTGTGTGTTTACTGTAGGAATAGTTAAAGTGCTGTTTATTATTTAAATTATTTGGAGGGGTGGGAATTATTCATTCCAGTTTTAAGAAGGAAAAAGTAGGGCACAGCTAGACTTAAGGCTCTGTTGAAACTTACATTCTCATTTATGGGTCCCCCCACCTCTTCCCAATACTGACAATTATTTTTCTAAAATCCATTTTTGGCTCTATTTCCAGTTCTCAACTTTGTAACACTGAGAGCTCATAGTGAAAATGACATGATTGTCAAAGCAATGTAGAAATTGTGGTATGGTTGTGAGGGGCACACCCAACAAAGTCCTCAAGTACTTGCAGTGAAATCTCATGAGCGAAAAGCAAATCATGATGGAGACTGTAGTAGGGTTTTTTCCTCCTAGTAAGCCAAATTAACAAGAAACTTAAATGCCTCTTGGCATTTAATATGCAGGTCGACATCCAATGTCACACCAGCAGACTTCCACTCATGCAATAGTATTTCCCTTTCCAATTCTCCAATTCTTTTCAGGCACCGATTCAAAAAAAATTAGTTTGGAGTGTTGGAGTCTGGTAATTATAGGTATCACAGGTGCTTGTGGAAGAGGAATTTAACCCTCATTCAGTCCTAAGATTAAAGTTAACTTTATTGCCTATGACTGCTGCATTTCCAATAATTATCAGCTCCTCCCCCAATCTGATATTTGCATTTTAAAAAAACTGAACTTTAAATGCAAAGAGTCATTTAGCAATCATGTCTAGTTTGACCTCAAGCATAGCAAAATTTGGCACAAAATGCAGAAGTATCACAAGAAA